TTTACGACTTTAGATGGTTTCTGCCAGCTCCCTCGCTCTTCCTGGCTCTGAGGCAGGCGCACACTGGCTCCAATGATACCACGTTTCTCCTTTTCCTCTCAACCGGACTGCATGAGAGGTTCTCTCTGCCACCTGAAATGGACCTGTCCACCTGGGCTCCTGCCACTTCCTTTTAACTACCCTCAGCAACACCCACTCAGCTGTGGGCAAGACAGAGTCCTTGGGCAGACCCTGTTTTCTCGTGCACCTGCTGCTTACTCCAGTTTTCCCTTCTCCACCATCTAAAACATTTGCATTCAGTGTATCTACCTAAAATAAGCAAAGTTAAACATAATAACACAATAACAATACACAATACATCATAATAAATTATTTCCTATACTGGCTCCCTCCTCAAGCCTGTGGGAGGAACTTCATTTTACGCATGCGCAGAAAACATCAAAGTGCAACTTAAAAGCTTTAAACAACTGATATATAACTCTTCCCTCCAGGGACCTGTTCCTGAAAGGAAACAAGGAAAGAATCATATCTGCTGAGCCTGTCGCTCAGCAGTAAACATGTGATTAAAATACTTTGTTCATGACACCTTTTAATATCTGAATTACCCTATTTTAAGTCAAGTCCAGTCAAGTCAAGTCAAGTGTATTTAAAAATACAGAACCACCACTTTTTCTAATTGACCTTTGATCACCTCCACTTCAGGATTCTGTTTCTGATCCTGCTACCTATTTAGGTCGTTATTAGGGGCGTCCCCCTTTTTTGACCAGTGAAGTTCCTGGACTCTGTAAACAAGAGAAAACACTTTTGTTAAACATAAACAAGAGCAAAATCGATTTTAGGCTTTTGATTTCTTCCACTTTTCAAATGTCAATGTGGTTATCCCAACTTATCCTTTAAACGCATAAGTTTTGATTGGCTTAGGCTTTGGATTGGCCTTTATTGTCCTCTTAAATATAAACCCTATGAAGTTATTTTATATTTATCTTTTTTTTTTTTTTTTTTTTCTCTACACATTGTATGAACTGTTTCCTGCTAAGAACATCCTTCAACCTCCCCCTTTTGAAACAGTGAACTGTTTCAACATCCTAAGTCCTACTGGCTATAATTAACACACTGAGTATTGGTTTCAGAAATATAAAATAATAAGGTGTAGTTGTAACATTAACCCAAAGTCTTATATAAGCTTTCCCAAAGTATTAACCATTAAATAAATGTCCTCTGTTGTAGCAAAGCAGACCTACTAAATTGGCTCGTTCAAGGCAAAGACCATTATTTATCCTTAATTTAGAAAACATCACCCAACTCAATCTAATTCAAGTCTTAAGCACAGGTTTCTCCTGTGATCAACTTGTAAAAATGAAAAGTAAAATAAAATATATATATTGCTAAGGAGTGAGGAGCATCATTATAGATTCTGATGTAATAAAACAATTTTCATCACAGAGCAAATGGAACAGGTGCAATCAGTCCAGCACCCCCACTGCAGCCCTCTTGTGTCATGTTATGGCACCTGTCTTAAAGTGAGACTATGTGTGTTCATTATCTAAGCCAACTGCAGTTTCTGATCACAACCCCCAAAGTGCCTAAATGACCTTAACAGACCAAATGTGGGGCCGACACCTCCATCAGGCTGCAATTGATGTTAGTGACCCTGGACAGAGTGACCTCCAGTTCTTCTTTCAGCCTTTCAGACTCAGCACCGTCTGTCTGGAGACCAGTTCAGCTTTGTGCAGCAGTTCATATCTCAGCATACAGCAAGACTTGACTTTGTTCTTCACTGTGTGCAAACTCCAGGACCCCCTTACTGGACAGTTAGTTCAGTTTGCTCTTGGACTGTTAGATCTTTGAAAAGTCACGTTACTTGGCTGAAAAGTTCTTTGTTGTTGTGTCAGTAGTGTTCGACTGACAACTTATTTGAACCTTCCCATCTGGTCAGTTTCACAGACCCAACTTCAGCGCCCACCTGGACACATTTGTATCTGATCCGGCCCCCGGCACTCAAGAGTCCTGATCAAAACTCAGATGGATGCTGTATGCAGTTAAATGCTACCGTCTATGTTTTGTGGGCCTAATTAAACTCATCTTCCCACTGCAGAGAAGAAAAAAAAAAAAAAAAATTCACAAGGGGTTTTGTTTTAACTGGGATGTGTGACTCCCCCCTTCAGCTGAGAAGGGGTGTCAGTAACCTCCCCCACCTGGAACCTTCCATCTGGTATGTGATATATGGGGGTACATTCCTGTTGGGGGATGTGCTGACTGATTGCCGCTTGGGTTATAAGGAGGGGAGCTGAACTACTCACTTCCTCCCTCTTTGTTCTAGGTTGTTCGATAAGCTGCTGTTTCTTCAACAAATGAGACGAACCCTGTGCCACAAAGACCAATTTCAACCACTGTTTTCTTTCATTTATAACCTCCCTCATTAACTTTCTGTATTTACTTTCCTGCAAGGCGTTTGCCTCTCTCTTGCTTGTCAACTTATCCTCATCTCTCAAGCATTCTTTAATTTTTTCCCACAATTCCAATTTGCTCCCTTACTGGTTTAAAACTTTCCTGCTCACACTTTTGTAACCTGAGACTCTGCTGCCCCTCAAGTGTCCATTCTCTCAGGAATCCAAACACACAGCACAGACCTCTGAACTCTGTTCTCCTCATGCAACATGTATACAATGTCAAACTGTTTAAAGGCATTTCATCTAACAAGTAAAATTGTTGCTCTTATAAGAAAACAGCTCTCCAAATCTAATAAAATCAATTAGAATGATTAAGTTAAACCCAGTATTCCTATTTAAAGTGTATGTAAATATCTTTTTATTTCCTCTATTTTAAATTAAAAGGTTCCTTTTTTTTTTTTTTTTTTTTTTTTTCTTTTTCAGTCGAATTTATAAACTAACATTACGGTCAATATTAGAAGAAATTTTAGCTAATTTGTTCAAAATGCATCATCCAGAAATGTTCAAACTGAACTGGACCTATGTATGGTGTGTAATTAAGCACCTAAGCCTTTATTATATTTTAATTGTAATTTAATTCAACCTGTATTTAATTTAAGGGGAAAGCTGAGCTTTGACGTTTCTCTTTCCGGGTCAAAGCTCTCCAAATTAATGTGGACTTATCCAGTAATACAGACATGTTCCTATTTTTGATTTCCTATAATCTGTCTGTTTTGCTACCTTGTAACCTGTGTGTTATCTTGTTATGCCTGTTATGATTGTCTATTGTTAATGGATTGAAAATCTACCGTTGCTGTTGTCATTATTCTTTGTTTGTAAATGAGTCTTCGAGGCTCAATGGGATTAACCTGCCTAAATAAAAATCGAATCATTTAACATAGTTAAACAATGTTTTAACTTTTTCTCCCAACTCCGTATGACCACCTTTCGGGCTGCTACATCGTTTTTTTTTTCGTTTTTTTTTTACTTCTACTGACTTATTTCTGCTCATTTCTGATACCATTTGACTGTTTCATGCCAATATCAACTAATTCTACCTAGGTTTTAAATCAATCCTACTGTTACCGCGTACTTCAGCACAATTCCTTCCGGTGATTAGAAATTATTTCTGCTTATTTATTGTTTCCTAATTTAAGCTCCTTTATTAATTCTTTAGTTTGTAATTAGTTGTTTTAAGGTAATTAACGCATTTACTCATGACTTCCAGGTTATCAATTCATTTTTCCTTAATTTTCTGAATTTGATTATTTTTGACCTTTTACATTGTCTCAAATTAATTAATTAATCAAAACCAACTTCCCCTCTTTTTTTTTTTCTTTTTTTTTTTTTCTCTTCCCTGGACGGTCTGAAGCCTCACACCCACATGCACGCGACTCAGGACACAGTTATATTGACCCCAATAAAATATTATTTTGTGAAAATGTATGTTGACTTTTTTTTTTTTTTTTTTTTTTTTTTTTTTTTTTTTTTTTTTTTTTTTACCAAAAAGGTATCCCATACGTATCTTGTGACTATTGTTATGTTATAAAAATAACATAATTATATAAGTTATTACTTTATATTGTTATTATTATTATTATTGTTATTTATTTATTTATTTATTTTTGATCGTCACGTCTTTCACGTTTTAGCGTTTTATTCTTGCATCTAACCCAGTCCCGTACCCACTTAATAAAAACCTCTAATTTTTAAGCGAGTCTAATTGACACTGTTTTTAAGCGAATCACCAATTTCGCAAGATTACAGTAAACTTGGTCTTAGAGTTACAGAAGCCGACGGCGAATAAATCAAATATATCCTAGAACCCCGCTTCCTCTCTGGAACTTCGTCAAATTCCAGTTGGCTCGACCACTGCGTAATATTCTGGGACTGGTTTTACTTCTCACTCAGCTCCGCACTATACTTAAATAAACGTCCAATTTTAAGCAAGTTTAATTGATACTGTTTTTAGTTGGATCACAAATTCAACAATGTTTACAGCAAAACATGATCTCAGGGTTTCAGAGTGAGCGGCAGATAAATTTTTACATCTATCTTAGAACCCCCACCCCCCTGTTTCAAAGCCCCCGTAGGGGCATTTGATTTGCTCGATCAATGCGTGATCATTCTGGAGCTGGTTTTACGTTTACTATATTTTCATTTCTACGCGCTACCGATCATAAAAACATACTTATTCTGTTTTATTGAGTTCAACACACTGACTTTTAATTTGCCTATTAAAGCCCAATGACAGATTTCGATAAAAAACCAGGTATCTGCTCACCTGTATTGTGAAGATACTGGCGCCAGGTCAGTGTGAAGAACTCAGCTTGCCCTTCCTGCCTGCCCGAAGCAACCCATATCTCGGTGGAACCTCCATTTGTTGATCTGCGTCTTCGCTCCGCCCGAGTTCGTTGTTATGGCTTGTTGTACAGGATCGAGGAAGGAAAA